AGAAATATTTTTTTTTTATTTAATATGACTGTGAATTGATATCATTTCATTTTACGCGATTTGCACTCTACTGTTATGTCTAGCAATTTTTATGTCTTNTTTTGAATAAAGGCTGATAGTTTCGAAAGAAACTGTTTGGGGCTGCGTCGGTGGGAGTAACGAAATAATTTGGATATATCAACAAAGTTGAAATGGTAAATTGGCCACCGTAACGATTACAAAAGCTGACGTTTCGAGCGTTAGCCCTTCGTCGGAGCGAATAGAGGAATTGTGGGTTGTGTGTGCTTTTAAAGGCAGAAAATGGAGCTACGTTATTGGTGGGAACATGGCAACGAGAAAAACAAGAATAAATTAGTGGAATGAAAAGCGTTCGTTGATCCCTGTGGGATTTAGACTGCCGGTTTGAAAGATGAGCTTTTGTTCAAGATTTTTACGGCTTTCCGTGCTACCTAAGTGTAAGGAAAGACCGCAGATTGCCATATGTTGCTTAGAATGATTAGGTAAATTAAAATGTCTAGCGACTGGTTTCGATGTGTCCTTGTCATTCCTTTCCACGTCTCGAAGGTGTTCTCGGAATCGGTCACCTAGTCTTCTGCCTGTTTCGCCGATGTATATCTTTTTGCAATAAGTGCAAGTTATGCAATAGATTACATTGGCGGAGGTGCACGTGAAGTGATCGGTGATCTTAATGGATCGTTTAGGTCCCGATATTTTATCAGTGTTGTGAATGAAAGGACACGTTTTGCATCGTGCACGAGCGCATTTAAAAGTGCCTGGTTGGTCATTAGTCTGAAAAGAACTTCTGACCAAAAAATTGCCTATGTTTTTGTCGCGTTTGAATGAAATGAGCGGAGGCTGCGAAAAGATAGTGCTTGTCTCTGGATCGTTTTGAAGTAATTTAAAGTTTTTAAGAATGATGGATTTAACTGAGTGGTTGTGAGGGTGAAACGTGAGAGTGAATGGAATGCGGTCGGAATCTTCCTTATGCGACGTTTGTAGTGCTGAATGTCGATCAATAAGTTGGGCGCGGTGGTAACCCGCTTGAACGACAGAAACAGGGTAACCACGTTTATCGAAAAACTGGCACATTGACTCTGATTTGTGGTGGAAATCAGAGTCATCACTGCATAAACGACGAGGTCTTAGAAACTGAGAAAAAGGAATGGAATTCTTAACGTGAGATGGATGCGAAGACGAATATAACAAGTAATTATGCGAGTCTGTAGGTTTGTAATACACACTAGTGCATAAGCCGTTACCTTCAGTTGAAACTTTGAAGTCTAAAAAGGATAAAGAATTATCAGAAATTTCCTAGGTATATTTCAGAGCCAGGTGAAAAGAATTGACTGTGGTTATGAATTCAGTGAGCTCCTCTCTGGTAGAGGAGGTAGCGCCGATACAGTCGTCGATGTAGCGACCGTAGAGTTCAAGTTTGGACCCGTTGTATTGGCTGAAAAATTGGTGTTCGACAAAACCTACAAAAAGATTGGCATAGCTAGGTCCTATTTTGGTGCCCATGGCTACACCATTGGTTTGTTTGAAGACGTTGTTTCCGAATGAAAAACAATTGAGTGTGAGCACTAGCTCAGCTAAGCGTAATAGTGTTTCAGATTTAGGTTCCTTATCAGTACGTTGATCAAAAAAATGTTTAAGGGCCAGAGGGCCTTCTCCATTAGGAATGACATTGTAAAGAGACGTAATATCCATGGTGAAAAGAAGTTTGTTTTGGCCAACGAAATTAAAGTCTCGAAGAATTTGAAGAGGGTGTTGGCTGTCTTTAATATATGATGGTAATGTTTTGACGATGGGAGCCATAATTTTGTCTAGATAGCTGGAGATAAGTTCGGTAGGGCAACTCTCATGATGTTACGTGAAAAGTAATTTTGGGCGCACTGAGCTTGGTTGAATTTTGAGTTTCTTGACCAAGCCTCAAGAAACTCACAAAGGAGCTACACCAGGAAATCGTAAGCTATGTTTTTCCTTTTCCCCCTATTAGTAAGGATCTAGCATTCCGTTTAGCCATTCTCACTTTCGCCAAAACTAGGCTCTGTTGCCACATAAACTTCATTGGTCGTTGCCTTCATTCTAAAGTTATTGCCAAGGGTTTTCGCTCCAATTTTCATGCATCTTCACTCACCAAACAATACCATCACCAAATTCAGTGCGCCCAAAATTATTTTTCACGTAACATCATGAGAATTACCATTAGAGCTATATGCCAAAAACGTAATCACCTCACCGAACAAATACTACATTGCCGCTCTGAGCTTTCCAAAATCTGTCCAGCAGTTTTATTACAATCTATCCGCGCCAAAATTCAGGAAACAACTTCGAATATTTTCAATCATTTGAACCAAATTAAGGCCCAAAAACTTGACCAGCTTATCGGTCCCCAAATCGATAACCACTCATCACCAGAAAACCTCAAAACTGTAGTTACCATTCCAGAAAACTTCTCACTTTCCGATTCAGAAAAATCCGTCCTCAGTAAGGGCTTAAA